TTTCTCATTGGGACAAATGAAGATGGACCCCAAAAATTAAGGTTGATATTTAAACAAAAGCCCATTAAATTCATTTTTCCCCACCACCATTGTTAGCTTCATTTTTGTCTCTGAAACAAAATTTTAACTTCGTTATATTATTTGTAAGTTAGGGACATTAATTCCATCCATGGATTCAATATAATCTGGCAAATTCTTGCAATATTTGCGGTGCTACCTTCCCAACGGGGCAGAGGTAGAAGTCGAAGTATGAGTTTAGTAACTTTAGTTTAAACTCTGTATTTGTATTAATAAATTCACTAACATATACACAAAATTAAATTCAGAATTCAGTTGCTAACAACTTATATCATTATCCTAGAATTTAGAACCTATAAAATTCAAATCCTGTCTCCGACTATGCTTTCTATTATAATTTGATATGGTTATTATAAAAAGAATTATAGGTGAATAACCGTAACAGCATAAACACTTCATTTATATCACAAATCTCCACATTAATTACATGGAAATAGTAGAAAGAATACGTTGAAAATTAAATGACATATTCGATTGTGATTAACCACATGCAAATCACATTTGATAAAACCAGATTTCCATGGTTCAATAATATTGTATAGCTTCACCACAACGATGCAAATGAGGGTAGTGGAAGTAGGAGAAGAGAGTATTTATCTTTTCTATATATATATATATATNAAAATGGGAATACATATGATTCTGCATCCATTCATTTGAGTCTTTATCGATCTTTATAAGCAAATGGGGAGAAAACTCCTTTTCTTTTCTTTCTGTTTCTCTCTTTTTTCCTTTCTTTCTCTTTCGCCATTAATTTCTTCCTTTCCTCTTCTCTCATTTCTTTTTGTACGTATTTTCTTTTATACTTTCCTGATTTGGTCAGATGAAGGGGGATCCCAAAAATATGGTTGATTGACATTATGACACGGGACCCAATAATTCATTTCTTTCGCCACCTTTCTTTACTTCATTTGTCTGCTTCGGAAACCAAACTTCAACTTAGTTCTATATATTATTTGCAACTTAGGAAGCAAAAACACATTAATTTCCAAACATGGCCTCAATCTGGCAAGTTCTTGTACTAGTTGTAATAGTCCTATACATTTTTCAAGAATTACACAACAAATTCATGAAAAAGAAAAAGAAACTTCCTCCAGGTCCAAAAGGGTTTCCAATTATTGGAAATCTATTTATGATTGGCAAAAATCTACATCAAGATCTTTATCAAATAGCCAAAAAACATGGTCCTATAATGAGTATGAGATTTGGTCTAGTTCCTGTTATTGTTGCTTCATCTCCTCATTCTGCTGAACTATTCTTGAAAAAACATGATCTTGTTTTTGCTAGTAGACCATATAATACAGCTGCTCAATATATTGGATATAATCAAAGAAATCTTACTTTTGGTAAATATGGTCCTTATTGGCGAAATATGCGAAAATTGTGCACGTTAGAATTGCTTAGTACTCTCAAGATCAATTCATTTCAATCAATGAGAAAACAAGAGATTGGAAATTTTGTGACTTTTCTCAATCGGGCAGCTTCTAATGGTATTGAGGTTGATATTAGTGCTAAACTTGCTTCACTAAGTGCAAACATGGCTTGTTTAATGGTATTTGGGAAGAAATATATGGATGAAGAATTTGATGAAAGGGGTTTTAAAGATGTAATTCAAGAGACTTTAGTTATAACAGCAACACCAAATATTGGTGAGTTTTTTCCTTTTCTTGATAGGTTTGATTTGCAGGGATTTGTTCCATGTATGAAAAAATTGGCAAAGATTTTTGATGATTTTTTGGAGAAAATTATTGATGAACATGTTCAAGATTCCAAGAGGGAAAATAAGCAAGCTAAGGATATTGTTGATACTATGATGTCTATTATGCAATCTGGAGAAGCTGAATTCGAGTTCGATCGTCGCCATGTCAAGGCTATTATGCTGGTAATGTAAATGGAACATTCATTTCATTTGTTCATTTAGTTTTAGTCATTTTGTTCTTCGTGAAATTAAAGGCAGGGAAGAATTCAAAATTTAAATTTGATAGGTTCAAACTTTAGTTTCAAATCATTAAATTCATTACACTTTTGACGGGAGCCTTGGCGTAACTGGTAAAGTTGCTGCCATGTGACCAAGAGGTTACGGGTTCGAGCCGTAGAAACAACCTCTTACAGAAATACAAGGTAATGCTGCGTACGATAGACGCCTGTGGTCCGACCCTTCTCCGGACCCCGCGCATAGCGGGAGCTTAGTTCACCGAAATGCCCTTTTACACTTTTGAAATATGGGTTCAAAATTTACAGCGTTTCAATTTTAGTGACACACATATATATATACACACACTTAGTTTTTCAATAAATACTTACTTCACATCCTGCCACCACCCCGAAGAAGCTTTTTTGACTTTTTGGACTTTCGGCCAGTCTTATAGTCGCAGTCTTTTGGCTTATGTAGTCGTCGGACTTCCTACACGAATGTATCCGCCGGAATGCTATCTTGGGAGTGGTTCGGCCTTATATGTATATCGGAAGTGAAAGTTATTATGTAAAGATGTAATACTATGACTTTAGCAACTGAAAAAGAACTCTCTATGCAGGATTTGTTAATAGCTTCAATGGACACTGCATCAACAGCAATTGACTGGACTTTCACTGAACTTCTAAGGCATCCTAAAGTAATGAAGAAATTACAAAATGAATTGGAACAAGTTGTTGGCACAAATAGAATGGTGGAAGAGACAGATTTGGAAAAATTAGAGTACTTAGACATGGTTATAAAAGAAGGTTTTAGGCTTCACCCGTTGCACCACTATTAATTCCACATGAATCCATTGAAGATTGTATTGTTGATGGTTTTGATATACCTAAAGGTTCAAGAATTTTGGTAAATACTTGGGCAATTGGAAGAGATCCAGAAGCTTGGCCTGAACCCGAGAAGTTCAGACCAGAAAGGTTTGTTGGTAGCAACATCGATCTTAGGGGACGTGACTTTCAACTTTTACCATTTGGCTCTGGGAGAAGAAGTTGCCGCGGATTACAACTAGGGCTCACCATTGTTCTCCTGGTGTTAGCGCAATTGGTTCATTGCTTTGATTGGGAGCTACCAAATGGTATGATGCCAGAAGATTTAGATATGACTGAGAAATTTGGTTTAGTAACAGCTAGAGCTCAACATTTAGTTGCTATTCCTACTTATCGATTGCATGTGTAGTTGATGTGAATTTTTTTTAGAAGCTTAATTAAGTGAAAATAAGGATCTTTGTCCTCTATATTTTTCATTGTACGGCAAAATATGTAACATTTACTGCATATTTTTCGATAATAATACTGTGTAATATAGGACCAATATTACTTTTGTTACATACTATAATAGATCTTGAACAGCGCAAGCGATTTTTTTGACTTCGCTATTGGCGTAGGAACGCAACTAGAGTAGAGGCGGCGCATTGCGAGTTTGACTGATTTCAATCAATATATTCGGAAACGAAACTAAGTTTGTTTTCTTTAGTTAAGTAATCAAAGTAGGCATACGTTCCACTAACTCTATTCAAATTTCAAAACAAAGTCATTTTCGAACAAATAAGATAAGAATACAAAGCTATATATGGAGCCTAAAAATAGAAAAAGGAATGAACTCTCTTCACAATTTTTTGTCTTTTTCTACATAATAACAAATATATATTATATTAAGCCTCACTTCGTCATAGATATGGAGTATCTCTTCCAAACCACAGGAGCTGGATTCTGGGGATTTGAAGGTATCTCTTATCACTTATGTAGCTATCAGTTTTGACAAAGTTCAAATATAAGAAGTTATGGTCCCTTTTTGACTATACTAATTATTTTAAACATTTTCTTTCTTTACTAGAAGACATCTTTAAAAGGCAATAAACTTAATTGTCAGCTAGTTATGGTCCCACTTACAAAGTTAGGCAATATTAGTTCGGTCAGAGAATGTTTAATTTATGGCTATACTTACAATATTTACGTTGTTAGTTGTAATTCTTTTCTTAATATTTTCAGTTAAGGAAATGGTTTTATTACATTTTCTGAAAATGTAATCTACTTTCTCTGAGTAGAAAATCTCTTGATACGGATGTCATGTCTTTTTTAAACAAGACTTACTGGTTCAGTTAGACGTGTGTGTATATATATAGAGAACATATGTATAAATAGTTCAAATTAAAAGTAATGTATTTAGTTAAATCAGCAGAAGCCGCTTTTAATCCGTGTCTACTTGAGGCTAATGGTGTTATGTAATTAATCAGAAAATTTGTGGTGACTTACCTCCTCTCAAACTAGCATAGTATTGACTTACCATGTCTAATTTCTTCGTCATTAGCTAAAGGATATCAAAGGTGGTTTCTTTTATATATAAAAATAAAGAGTTCAAACTATATTTAAAGGTGTTTTGTTTTGGACTAATCCACTTTCGTCCCGAGAAGTATAGAGTAGTACTTAATGCTTCACTACAACATTTTGGGGTAAAAAATGATTTCTTTTGGGTGTAAATAAACCATTTAAATATATACTTCTGAGAAGTTAACATATTGGAAAGCAGAATATTCTGCAAAAAAATAAACTATATATGAGTAGAAATTGGTCCCGGCGGGGCTCGAACCCGCGACCTTCGGCTCATAAGACCAACGCTCTAACCAACTGAGCTACGGGACCTTATGGTGTGCGTATTATACTTTCCTTATATATTGGTCAGAATCCATAAACAGACTTGGTTGAGTCCTTTGTACTTTCTTGTACTCATTTTAAAAATTGGATTGCTCCTGATATGCAAGGCTGAACAGCTCTGTAAATAACCCTTTCTTATAAGCAAAACCTGTGTAAATTACAGTCGGATTTAGTTCCATTATCTTTATTTAGCCAAAATAGCCCCCTCGTTTTTTCGTGGATTTGCATTTGGACATACTTTAGTAGACATAAAGATATCGTCTTTGTAACAACTACCAAATCACAAGGGAGGCTAGATGTAACATAATACAACATAGTATATACTCGGAAGCTAGAGGTACGATGATACAGCATAGTACATACTCAGAGGCTAGAGGTACGATAATACAACACATACAACATAGTACATACTCGGAGGCTAGAGGTACAATGATTCTACATAGTACATACTCGGATGCTAGAGGTACGATGATACAATACATACAACAATGTACATACACATCAAGTTATTTGTATAATCTACTGTTATTGAAATTTTGCTGAACCCACATAACAACAAAGGGGCTCCTAACATTGTGCTTATCACTCTCCCACGATATCGAACCAAATGCCATTTGCTCAACTATTTTCCTGCTGCTGTTGAATGCATAATGGCTCTCAAATTTGACCATATAGCTTTGTTTCTTTGAAGATTCATTGAACATCAGCTTCCTTGGCTCTATACTTAAACTCACCTTTTCTGAATTTAGATTCACTATCTTTACTTTGTACACCTCGGGCTTAGATACCGCAACATGTGTTAGTGTCCTCTTAACAAAATGAACAGAGGAATCAGGCCTGAACATAACAGAAAGTGATGGATAGTTAAGATCAAGTGGAGATCCAGTGAAACCCGAGCAAGGATTTGACTCGTTCGTGAAAAGTTTCATTTGTTTCTCTGTATAGTTCAAGCTGCATAGTAAGTTGATGTAGTCTGATGTATCAGTGTCGTATATTAGGCCCGGATCAATAGCCGATTCAGGGTTAACATGACCGGAACCAATGCTGACCGGGGTTGCTAGCTCCATGTCTTCGTGTTTTATGATAGGAAGTTTTGCATTGTCGAATGCTGTGGATGTTGTCATCAGTGCGGATTTTATAGCAGCCGGGGACCAATCTGGATGAACAGCGCGGACTAGTGCAGCTACTCCGGCTACGTGAGGGCACGCCATTGATGTTCCCGAGTTTATGTTGAACTTTACTCTCCTTGGATCCATCTTGAGACGTGTCGGGGAAATGTCACCTGCATGGACAGACGCAATGCGATAAAATCACTTAAAAAAAGGGGCAGACTGGTGCACAAAGTATTCAGCGCTCGCGCAGGGTCCACGGGAGGGTTACACCCCAAGGGGTGTTATGCAGATAGCCTCCCCTGACACAAACATTAGTGACTGTTTCCACAATGTGAAAATCTACTAAAATTTCAAAAAATATTATATTCTGAACCCGTTGAGTTCAATAGTAAAAAATAAAGATTGAATTCATAAAGCTTAAATCCTAAATCCGACTATGGTCACCTGGCCATGCTGCAAGAATGTTCAAACCCGGAGCAATGAGGTCAGGTTTGAGGACTTCAGGAACAACAACATTAGGCCCTCTTGAAGAAAAGCTAGCAACAATTGGAGCTCTAACTTTTTTCCCAATTACTGTACCCTTTCGACGTACGAATCTTGCTGTTGGATTAGCATTCGATTTGATATAAGAAAGAAGTTCTATTCCTTCTTTATAACTCAATGTTGCAGAAGACAATGTGTAAGCCATTGCTCTGAGCCCTTCTCCTTCAGTCGCAAGATTCAATTGAATCAATCCAACACCACCTGTTTTCTGAATTAAAATCCCATTTCTTAGAGCTTCGATTTTACTGGTGTTGCAAACTACAATCTTTCGTTCAACTTTAGAACAATCGATTGTCATTCTAGAGCAATTCTCAATATAAACAAGAGGGTAACTTTTACCACTGATTCTCCCTGGATAAAGAGAAGAACCAACAAAAGTCTTGTTATTTGATAAGTTGATTTCAATGGGAAAATCGCGATCAAGTGATCCAGCTCCAACTGTTGTCACCCAAGGTGCTGTATTGTGAACTGAAAATGGATAAGGTCCAAGATTTCCAGCTGAGGAGACAACAAATATGTTCCTTTTAACAGCAGCAAATGTTGCAATTGCCACTGGATTTTCATAAAACGGATCATCATCGTATCCTAAGGAGAGGGAAAGTATATCTACACCATCTTTTATAGCACTTTCAATAGCTGCTAAAATATCAGACTCTGCACAAGAACTACTCCCACAAGCTTTGTACATTGCAATCCTAGCTTTACTCGCGATCCCTCGTGCTTTCCCTTTAGCAAAACCAAATACATTGGCACCATATACCTCTGCACCTGCTGCAGTTGAAGCAGTATGTGTTCCATGTCCATTTTGATCTCGTGGCGATTGATGATGATAGTCATTCTCAACCCCCTTAACGAAATTCCTAGCACCAATAAGTTTTCTGTTACAGTTTCTTGTTGCGTTGAACGCGATTCCATCAACACATTTGCCTTTCCACCTTGTTGGAATAGGACCAATACCATTGTCTTTGAAACTCTCACTTTCAGGCCAAATTCCTGTATCAACAAGGCCAACTATAACATCATCTCCAAAGTTAGACTTTGGCCACAGACCATAACCTGTGTTTAGGCCAAGAAAATTCGGCGAACGTGTAGTGTCAAGCTTGATTCTAAACTGATCTTTGAAAATGTGAGTGACTTCTGGATATTTATTTAGTTTTTCAGATTCTTGATCAGTCAATCTTGCTGCAAAACCTTGTAACACTACATCATATGAGTAGAACAATCTTGGAGAAGTAGAATCTGAGTCCATTTTGTTTTCAAGAACTGATTCAACCATTGAATTATACCATTCATCTTGAGTTAAGTAATGAGATGGCCTGGTTTTGGTATCAACATGGACAACATAAGTTGACAACAGAAGCTCAGATGCAATTGGTAAGACTAGTGATGTGAAGATTATGAAGAAATTGAGTGCAGCCATTGTAAGTCAAGTTGTGAACTTTACTAGCTAACTCATTTTTAAAGAAAAGAAAGTGCTAAAATTAGGGAAAGACTAGTAGTCCTCATCCTATTTTTAAAGAAAAACTCTTTTCATCACAGAGCCAAGACTTTCTATTTAGGGGCATTTACATTTCCAAATTCCAAAAATTACTAAAAGAGGGGCAGCCCCAATGTACTAAGCTCCCGTGCAGGGTCCAGAAAAAGGCCGGACCACATTGAGTCTTATCTACGCAGTCTTACCTTTTATTTCCGCAAGAGGTTGTTTTCGCGGTGCGGCTTGAATACATGGTTACACAGTAGTAACTTTTACCGTTGGCATTGTATATCACTTTTCATCATGTGCATAGTTTAATTGCAGCTTTTTTTCTTCTTCTTAAAGATACAGATGAAGCACTGGTTCATACATCCCATGATTTCCTTTTTCTGATATATTGCAGCTTAAAGTCTGTAATTTTGCTACCTTCTGATTCCAAAAAGCTTCAAACACTCCAAATAACACTCTTGTCCACATTCATCATTGCAAAAGGCCAACTTTTTGCTATGTAAGTTGTAACTTATCCAACTTTCCTTTGTTCTTTTTATCATACACTTCCAAGAGATTCTTCATTTTCTCTCCGTTTTTGGTGCGTCAGTTTCAGCAGCTGTTCGTCCAAAAAAGAGAAACAGCCAAAACACTGTTCTTGTAATAGATATCTTTAAGTGGCCTTACTTTGACATGATATCTTTAGCCTTTACTCCTTCCTTTTTAGCTAATGTCTTTTTCCTTTGCATGATATTCTTTTTTATGACGGTGGCGTCTAATTATTTTACTAGTTCCTGGTATTCTGCAAAATAATTCTGCACACCAAGAATTAGACCAATATATATATATATATCCCCTAACTGCTATTTCCCCATTTCAATTTGTCTGTCCTAATTTAACTTGACACAAAGTTTAATAAAATTTTTTTTTTTTAAAACTTGTGATCTTATATATGTTATACCATTTGTGTGGCTATAAAGTTTTTAAAACGCGTGGTTTTAAATAAGTCATAACATCTGTGTGGCTATTAATACGTCCCTTTAAGGAAATATAAGAATGTGTCAATCTTCTCGAAACTGACTAATAAGAAAATAATGCCAATTTTTTTGAAACTAAGGGAGTATTACAATGAGTACCCATTTGGTCAAGGCCTTGTCCCGTGTCACACAAAAGTATGGGTGCTTATCTGGCGGATCGGGCGGTTATTTTCGCTTAACGGTTCGGCTTATCGGTTGTCGGTTTATAAATATAGTTATCCGCTAGCCATTCAATAAGATATCAAGCGAATTGGTATCAGATGAATGATTATCGAGCGGTTTATCGACTAAATCAAATAGACAATAAAAAAGAAGTAGAGAACGAAAGAATTTGTCATTATGTCTCACTTCAGACTTCAAATGAAGCTGGTTCTGTCTAGATTAGCAAATATGTATGAAGAATTTTTTTTGAAGCTTACATGTTCTATGCCTTGGCTACCTTATCGGTTATATGAATATAAAAGATCACGGAAACCTAAGAAATAAGACTACCAACTGCTTCCTCTTATCAAGCATGGATATTATGACAAAGAATATGAGCAGAACAAGTAGAAAAAAATGACCAACTGAATATTTGATGCAGAAGACAATGGCAGCGAATCTATGATAAACCATGCAGAAGACCATACAGGTAAAAGTATAAACATAAAAGTTCATAACGGGTTAACGGTTTATTCGATAAAGAAATTGAGTAATCCGTCCCAAACCATTAAGCCGTTAATTATAAAATTTCAATCTGTTCACCAACCATTACCTCGATAACTCGATACCAATAAACCGCTTTTACGATTCGGTTAACGATTACGGTTTGATTTTGAACAGCCCTACACAGAAACATCATTTTTCATCAAAGTAACAAATAGAAATAGAATTGTGAATTCAACAAACTAAAATTTAAGATGGTGAAACAGTCAGCTCTCTATAACATTATTCTTATATAATAACCATTCTTATATAACCATTCACTGTAAAAGCCGAGTTTATCTCGGAACCGATTATTATGTTACGTTATAATATATGTCCTCTATAACAACACTTCACTATAGCAGCCAAAAAAATATCGAAACAAACGAAGTTGTTATAGAAAGATTTGACAATATTAGCAGGTGATCCAACATTTTCCATGTTCAGAGTGCACCTTCACTATGCACTTTCGAAGCCTATAACCATAATGAGATATGTCACAACCATTTTTATTCCAGATTGTCATCACACTAGCATGATATTTTTGTCAATAGTAGGGCAACTCCTAGTAGGATTGCCAGCAAATTTTACAGATAAAAAAAGAAAAGAAAATGCCGGGCAAAATTTTCAACAAACATTCTTAATCCTCTCCTAAATCTAGAATATGGCCCTTGTAAGCCATCAATAATTCCTCTGCATTTTCAGTAAATCTCAATATATACTTTTCCAAGAACACATGCTCCGACAAACACATCACATAATAAAAACTTGGCTCTTTCTTCGCAAGTTTTTTTGACTTTATCAGCTGAATAACTTCATATCTGGGAATCACTCTATCCTCCATGCTAAACATCAAAAGTGTAGGATGCTGTACTAAAGTTGACTTCTTTAACGTCATTGTTTCCAAGAAAAACACTAGTCCAAGTCTTATTTTCTCCTCTGAACTTCGGAATAAACTTGGTGCCCTCCTAAACATTTCCATGCACTCATTTATCGAGAAACCAGAACTCTGAAGCAAAAGCAATTTCCTCGAAAAAGACTCATGACTAATACAACCTAGAGTATGAAGTCCATGCACCAACATTCGTGAATCAGTAGAAAATCCAATATCTATAAGTTTAGCGACAAGCTTTTTAAGCTCAGATTCAGGCAAAGCAAAAAGATGAGGTTGTCTCTTCAAGAGTGATGATAGTTGAGACCCAACAATCCCAATGCTCTCCAGATATGAAATATTAGGAATCAGTCTCAAGTGAGGGGATTTATGTACAACCCAATCGCACCTTCGCAGAACCCGGAACCAATCACCATTATCAGTACCGTTTATAAGGACTTTATCGAGAACTTCAATGCAAGGCTTTAGTATTTTCTCCACACTACGTGTTAATATAATCGCCTTTGTGGAAATTAGCCTACCCAGATCAGAACCAGTGATACCCAGTTCTTGTAATAGTTGGATCTTTGGCTTGAGTGTCTTTTCAACATCGGCCAGGAGGATTTGTGGGACATTACGAACAGCGGATTGGATTTGTGCATCTGTGAATCCAATGGACTTGAAGAAATCGACAACCGATTCAGCTTTTTCAACATTTTTGACCCAAGGATAACGGTTGGATACTGCCAGGGCTTTAGATTTTGGAAAGTCCAAGGTGTTTATTAGGTAGTTAAGGAGAACAGGATTTTCTCGGTTTGCATTTTGAGCAGACTTTTTGGTTACCACCCGAGATAGAGAAGAAAGAGAGAAGCGGAAAGAAGAAAAAGGACCAGCAGGTAGGGAATGAAGATGATGTGAGTGAATAGATAAACTACGGCAGCATAATTGGATCGCGATCATGAGTCCTTCTCAATCTGTTCACAGGCAACGGCCAGAAAGACTTACAGAGAGTTTTAAGAGAAAAACTTTGAACAAAGCGATTCAAAGTCAAAGATAGGTGGAGGTGGAACAAAGATGCTACCCATGCTTTCTCCAAGCTTCACTTCCCTGGAAAAAAAAGATGAATAAATATTACCCCTCAATTAATTTAACGAATAGAGTAACCTATTGTGTTGTGTGAAGCCAGCCTATCTTTACAAGTGGAAATGTTTGAGACCTACAAATTTGAAAAGATATAAATGCTAAGGGAAACTGATCTATAAATCAATCCAAAATGAAGTAACATTTTGCCATTAAAGTTCACTGATAACACAAAAGTTTACTCCCTCTATCTAAATTTGTGTGTCCCTCTTTTCATTTTGGAACGTCCGAGAATGTTTAACATCATCTCATTTTTATATAACTCTTACACTATCAAGAACTCATATTCCTTAACCTACACAAATTAAAGTTTGATAATATGTTTTCCCTATTAAACTAACTTTTTAACCATGAATTTAATATTTTTTCATCAAAATTATATGGAGGGGTATTTATTATTAAGATAGTAATTTTCACATCTGCTAACATACTAACTTCTAAACTCAAGTGGCCAGTGTGGATAGAATTGATGACAAAAGCATGAAATTGTAAGTACCTCCAGATTGAAAAAGGAGGCAAACTCACAACAAAGGTCAATATTTCATCTTTGACGGCATCCATATCTTTTTCCTCATTCCATTATAAAAATACAGAAACTTTGCAATAATCAAAAGCAGATATATAGAACATCAGAATTCATGAGCCAATATCACATAGAATACAAATGAGAATGCAAATAAATTGTAAAGAAACAGAAAACTCAGAGAAGCACATACAGCAGTTCATAAGCCGTACTACATCACTACAAATAATTGTAAAAGGGGGCTATGATTTTAGTCTCACTAGAATCAGACAATAGGAATCCTAGAGAAGAAAGCGAAAGAGACCATGAGTGAACTTACTAATAGATTTCGACGGAGATAGATATCGCCGAGGAATTGCCCGAAAAATAGATGGACGGAATAGTAGCAGCGCTGAAAGAAGAGAACTCAGCATAATTTGACTGTCATCACACTACCATGACATTTTTGCAAATAGTATGGCATCTTTAAACCTCGAGTCAATAATAGGGCAGCTTGAAGCCTAGTAAAATCGCCAGCATATTTTACTTAAAAAGAAAAAAAGAATGCCGGTAAATTCTCAAAGAACATTCTTACTCTTCTCCTAAATCTAGTAGATGGCCCTTGTAGGCCATCAATAATTCCTCTGCATTTTCTATCCCAATTTATGTGTCCCTCTTCTCATTTTGGAACGTCCCAAAACGTTTAACATCATCTCATTGTTTATATAACTTTCACACATTCAGATATTCAATTTCCTTAGACTACTCAAATTTTAAATATGATGTGATGTTTTCTCCAGTAAACTAACTTTTTAGTTTTTAACAATAACTTTAATATCTTTTCCCATCAGAATTTATCAGATAGAGAGAGTACTATTAAATAATAACTATTGCATCGCCTAACGCACTAGTTTCAAACTCAAATTCCCGTGTGAATAAAATTGATGACATATGCATGAAATTTTAAGCACCTCCAAAACTGGAAAAAAAAAACTCAAAAAAATGTTAACTTTTTCATCTTTGACGGCAGTAATATCTTTTTCCTCATTCCAATACAAATTTACAGAAACTTTGCAATAATTAAAGACAGATTAATAGAACATTGATGTGAGCTGAACTGAGAGTAGAGAATGTGGCTGTGCTTGCGTGAGTAGTACGTGTAGAAATTGTATTAACCCAAATAATTTTTGTGTATAAGTTGTATTATCTACACATTGATCTGTTTGTAGTCTCTATTTTGTCACTTCAAGTCCAGTTCCTTAATCATGCTTGTGAAGCTTAAATCTAGTATATGCATCGAGCTCGAGCTACATTTTCAGACTATGAATGAGAATCCCTAGCTTCTTCTCTTTTCTTAGTTTATCTTAGCTCCAATTTCGCATTTCAGA